TGTGGGGCCGAGCGTGGCAGAGCCTCGTGGCTCAAAATAGCCCCTGGCTGCCAGAACAGTGTCAGGAAACGGCGCTGTGGGGGTGGGTCGGGATCGTTTCAATCATATCAGTGTCCAGCCTGGATTTTGGGAACAGGGTGGCTGTTGTTTTGCAGGAGATATTGTAAGCAGTGCAAACTCAGCTCCCGCCTGCGTTGCCGCGTAGCCTTGTAGCTCCATTGTCAGCCACCAAAATAGGCTGTTTCCGTGTGAATCCGCGGCGTCCGGCGCTCCTCCTCCCTGGGGACTCGGGGGGGGGATGGCAGTGCCAGAGACCCCACCTGGGCAGGGCCAGTGGTGTCCTGCTGGGAGCGGGGCATGGCCCCCTCCATGCCCAGGACACGGGGAGCAGTGCCCTGGGCTGGGGGCTTGGCTGGGAGCCCCCGTCCATCGCTGCCACCCCCCTTGCCTTCATCCCCACAGTGCGAGTGGGGCAGATTCCCAGCATCTTGAAGGGCTGGGGATCACAGGACACTGTGTCCCACCCTGACTCCAAGGGAGCATGAGAAAGCAAAGCCGTTGGGAAGCAGGAGCAGGTCTGCTGCTCCCCACACCCCATTCCCGCTCCTGCTGGCACGTAAAAGCAAACAGCTGCCAGGCGGTAAATGAACTCCTGCTAGTGTGGAGTTTATGGCTGCACCCTAAAGCCTGGACTGCAATTGCAATTTCAGAGCTGGGTGGCCGTCATGCAGGCAGTGCTCAGGGCTCCTGGGAGCAGATGATGCCGGCAGCCCGCTCCATCCCCGGGGAACAGCTGAGTGGAGGCGATGGTCGCCATCCCTGCTGGGGAAGGGCTCTTGGCCGAGGCTGGTGCGGGGATCCAGGCTGGAAGGGATGTGCTGGGACATCATTCCCGGACATTGTGCTGGGCTGATGCTGAATGAGGAGGGGGTGCGGGCTGATGGCCCCGTGCATGGCATCCCCTGCCTGAACACTCTCAACTCCTGTGTGTTCCTGCCACAGGGCTGTTGTGCAGACCGCCGGCTTCTCCCCGAGCCTCACAGGGAGCCTGGAGAGGGGGGAGCAAACCCTGGGGACATGGGAATACACTGGCTTGCGCCTGGTCGGGACAAGCCTTTGCTCCCTGCCTGGGGAGAGCGGGACCAGGTTTCCCCTGGAGCTGGCATGTCCCATTCCCATTCCCATTCCCGTTCTCGTTCCCATCCCAGTTCCCCTTCTCGTTCCCATCCCCATTCCCTTTCCCTTTCCCTTTCCATCCCCATCCCCATCCCCATTCCCATTCCCATTCCCAGTGCTTTGTGTCTCTTCCCGGTGGGGTGGCCATGCTGGGGGGCACTGGGGGGACCCCCCCCAGCTCCACTGCTGTGCCTGGGGAAGGAGGGGGGCGATGGGCTAATGGCCTCTTGACATCGGCTCACACGTCTGCCCGCCGGTGCGGGGCAGTCAGATTGAAAACAGATTTAACTTCCCAGATATATCGTTTCATTTAAGGGCCAGTAATTCTGTCAGTCTGCCACTGACAAACGAGGGTCCCCATGCCAATCCGCCGGGGAGACTGATGTCGCAGCGTTCAGCTCGTGTCACCAGGCGGAGAATTACGGACTGCGCTGGCCTTCGGAGGCAAGACTAATAATGCCGCGCGGCAGAGGGGGATTTGGGGGCCCGCTTGTTTATCGAGGGCCGGCCAGGCAGCCGCGGCGCGAGGCCGCGCGGGCGGAGGTGGAAGAGGTCAGCGCTGACGCCCATAAATACGAACTTTAACTGAGTCTAGATGAGATGTGTCAGGACTGAGGGAAGATTTGCAGCATCTCTTCAGGAAGAAAAATATGGGCCAGGGCTGAAATATATTCTGTTGGGTCGTGAGTCTCAGGCAACTTTGTCCTTTCAGATGTAATTTTTTTATATATAGATGGAGAGAGACGGACAGAGGGATGTGCACACACACATGTTTGCACGCTCACGTTGTGTCTGGTTTGGTTTATGCATGCGTATCTCGCACAGCCTAGTTTCTATAGGTGTTGCTGCCATGTGTACCCTATAAATATCGTGCACACGGGGTGCGATGACCTTTAGATTGGGATGAGCAGCCAGGAATGTTAAACAAATTGCCACGGTTTCAGCCCAAAGGCTGGGCTGGGCTGGGCATGCGGCTGGTCCCTGTGCCATGGAGGGACATAGCGTGGCCGTGGGGATGAGGGGCTGGTGCCAGTCCCCTCCTTGGTCCCTCCTCACTGTGGGGCCGGGTCAAACACCCTCCCATCCATGGGCAAGCACCAGTGGGGGGGGATGCTGAGGGCAGCACCGTTCCCATGGACCGAGGGGTTCCAGCGGGTCACTGGGTCTGGCTGCTGGGCTGGGCTCCCTCTTCTCCTTGGAGACCCCGGAGCCACGACGAAGCCCGTTTGCAGTCAGTCTCTCTTCTGCCTTCAGTATGTGTGGGTCATCTTGACCCCATCTCCTGGCCCACAGCCAGAGCGTTTTTGGCAGATTTCAAATCTCCTTCTGGTGGTGGCTGCAGCAGCAGCAACGTTCAGCATCCGATGCACTGGGGGAAATGTGACAGCTCTCGCTGCCCACCGGCATCCTGGCTGGCACAGCCCTGCCTGCACTCCTGGGGGGCACACACAGAGCCGTGATGCCCACCCGGCAAAAAGCAGGAGCCTGGGCACAGCAGGGAGGCGAGGTCCTGGCCCTGCCCACTGCTCTCGGTGGATTTCTGCTTTAAGATGCCCCTTGCAGTGGTATCTGGGCAGGGGGAGGGGGACCTGTGCTGGCCATTAACACCTTGGGCTTGTGTGGGGTTTTGATTGCGGGCGGCTGGCAGATGGTAATCCACTTTCGCACTTCTCAGGAGCCAAGGTGACGGGTCCCGCTCGCACCCAGTAATTGCCCGGGCCATAGCTGGCGGTGCTGGCGTGAGCTGTGCACCCACGTGGGGCAAATCCTGCAGCAGCCATCAGGGAGGAGGCCTGGAGAGCATCCCTG